CCCCGACCCCCCACCCCCCCCCCCCACCCACCACCACCACAATCAAGTGCTGCAAAGTTTTAAACATTAGTCTAGTAGTAATGTCATTTTTGCATTTCGTCCCGCTTATTGGTATTATAGATGATGACTGTTTGAGCTACAGCTTCTGCCTGCAAGTAAATTTTAATATAAATTCTTTCCTACCCTGACTAGCTTATCAATTATCATACAAGTAATGTTCTGTTCTATGTGAATCCTAGACTGATGATAGAGGAGAGACACATGCATAAAAGACTTGCTGTTACTGCAGCGGTAGATGTCATTGCTGGAAATGCAGACATTCTATCTCAAATTCTACTCCATTTGCCTGCAAGATCTCTCATCAGGTTCAGTCCAGTATGCAAACTTTGGTACTCAATCATTACCAGTATGCAATTTAGGCTCAGTCATAGTCGTACTCTTGCATTTTCTAATACTCTAACCCCTTCTGGGATCTACTTTTACAATTGCCTAACCAATATCCAAAAAGTTGAATCCCTTCCACTAACTGATAATGTAACTAGCCTCCCTCCTCTTCAACTAGTTGACCACATGGCTGCAACATTAGGAGACACACTCAAGGATCTGCAAGTTAAGGATACGCAAGTCAAGGTTACACAGTCTTGCAATGGCCTGTTAATGTGTGTGATCACTTGCAAAACCGCTGTAAGTAATATCAGACGTGGTATTGTTTACAATCCTGCAAATAAAGGGTGTCATTTATTGCCTACACCCTATGATAACAAGTATTCTGAAGTGGTCTGTTATAATCTGATAGTTGATCCTTTAGAACCACCATATTACAAAGCTGTGCGTATTAAGCATGTGGATACCTATTCTTCGGATGTTGAAGTGAGTGTGTTTGTTCCAGGGAGTGAGTCATGGAGATCTTGTTGTCGTTTCTCTCGACCCTATGGTATGCGCTTTGACAGTGGAGTGTTTTGGAATGGTGCAATTCGTTGGATTGGTGAATACTCCTTCATTTCCTTTGATGCTAAATCAGAGGAAATTGCCATGAAAAATATGCCACCAAGGCCTCAGGGAGATTGTACCGAAAAGATTAGGTATTATGGGGAATGGGGCGGCCATTTGCATCTTATTCAGGTTCAAAGCCTACATGCCAAGAAATTTAATGTGCTTGAATTAGACAAAGATACCTGGAAGTGGTCAGTAAAATATCGTGTTCATCTTGCTCGGTTAATTTCAGCATTTCCTGAGATGGTTCAGCAGACATCATCTGGCACACAATATGCATTTTCCATTTTGTCAGTGATTCGAGGAGTGAAAGAGGAAGATTCAGTCCTACTGCTTACTATTCCGGGGAAGGTGATCGCCTACAACATAGTGCTTAAAACTGCTGAAGTAGTCCGCGAGTTGCCTGGTGAAATAGGTGATACTTTACGCTTTAATCATGTTAGCGCTTATCATTATACTGAAAGTTTGATTCCGGTTAAAAAGTGAATTTCTCCTGGAAAGAAGTTTTATTGCAGGTATTTCATGTGAAGACTTCTTCAAAAATGCTAGAAAACTAAATTTCAAATCTTAGCTTTCGTAGTTTAATTTGGGGATTCAGTATAAATGTTTAAGAACCTTTACTGAAAAAATGAGTTCAATGTTTTATCTGCACAAAAAGATTGTGCTCAACTCTTTAGTTATTTAGTTTTATAGTATGAATGAATATTGTGGTGCTCCTTGTTTGTTGGTAGTTATGACTTATGAGTGGGTTGTAATTGAACCCAAAACCTGGAATGGACAGGATACCTTGGCTCATAGTCTGGTTTTTTGGCATCATCATTCTCTGGTATTTACATCAAATCCAACAATTTAACTTTAGGATTCAAATATTACAGCGAGATACATAACACTTAACCATAATTTTTTTGGTGATAAAGGTTTATATGTGAAACACGCAGACTGTGGGGTAAGTCTGTTCCTGTTCTGCTCTCTCCACTGCCTTTGCTCACAGCATCATATGTTCTATTAGCTATTACTACAGTCTGTGCATATACAGCGGCAGATATTGCCTTGCTCAGAGCATCATAAGTTGCTATCAGCTATTACTGCAGACTGTATATATATATAATTGGAGATATTTATAGTGGCAAAGCCAGAAGTTTTTATGAACGAATTCGGGAAAAAATAAAATTTGAACTTGTGACCTTGTAATCCCCTCCCTGTTTCCTCTTCTCCTCACCTTACTGCAGACTATTTGTGTGTGTGTATATATTTCAAGTATGTTATCTTGGGAAAACGTTTGCCCATAAAAAAATTGAATGTGTGACCTAAAGAACAAAATCAGCTTGCACCTGTAGTGACTAGTCGTAGTGAGAGAATTATTAGAAAACCTCTCCGGTTTGCGCTCTTGGGAGAATCTTATGATAGAATCTCCGAAGAGCCTAATACAGAACGTATTAATTACGACGAAGAACTACAACTTACAGATACTGATAAATGGGTTGATGCTATGAAATCTGAAATGGAGTCCATGTACTCCAATCAAGTTTGGGATCTTGTAGAACCACCTACTGGAGTCAAACCCATTGGTTGTAGATGGATCTATAAGAAAAAGAGAGGAGTGGATGGAAAAGTGCAAACTTTTAAAGCTAGGCTTGTTGTAAAAAGGTTTACTCAAAAAGAAGGGATCGATTATGAGGAAACCTTTTTGCCAGTAGCCATGCTTAAATCCATTAGGATTCTCTTATCCATTGCTGCTCATTACGATTATGAGATTTGGCAAATGGATGTCAAGACGGCTTTTCTAAATGGAAGTCTTGATGAGTGCATTTATATGGCACAACCAGTTGGTTTCATAAAAAGTGGCAATGAGCACATGTTGTGTAAATTAAAGAAATCCATTTATGGATTGAATCAAGCTTTTAGAGCATTGAACACTTGTTTTGACGCATCGATTAAAACCTTCGGTTTTGATCAATGTGAAAATGAGTCTTGTGTCTATAAGAAGTGGGATGGAGATAAAGTTAAACTTTTGGTTTTGTATGTAGATGATATTTTGCTCATAGGAAATAATGTAAGCATGTTGAATTCAGTAAAGGAATGGTTGTCCTCACGTTTCGATATGAAAGACTTGGGAAAGGCAGCACATATCCTTGGGATCAAGCTTATGCGAGATTGCAAGCAAAGGATATTAGGCTTATCCCAAATACTTTATATTGATACTATTCTCACCAGGTTTAGCATGCAAGATTCCAAGAAAGGCTTTCTCCCTTTTAGACATGGAATGTCTCTGTCGAAAGATCAGTCCCCAAAAACGGCTGATGAGATAGAAAAGATGAAGGCGGTCCCTTATGCTTCTGCTGTAGGGAGTCTCATGTATGCTATGCTATGTACTAGACCTGATATCCGCTTTGCTTGGCATGGTTAGTAGATTTCAGTCTAACCCTGGACGAGAACACTGGACTGTCGTTAAGCATATAATCAAGTACTTGAAAAGGACTAGGGATTATATGTTGGTGTATCACTCAGGTGATCTTGCACCCATTGGCTATACCGATTCAGATTTCCATTCAGATAGAGATTCTAGAAAATCTATCTCAGGATATGTTTTTACCTTAGGAAGTGGAGCCATAAGTTGGAGGAGCATCAAGCAATCATGTGTTGCTGATTCCCACCATGGAAGCCGAATATGTGGCTGCATCTGAGGTAGCTAAAGAGGTTGTTTGGCTCAGGAACTTTCTAAAAGAGCTTAATGTAGTTCCTTCGGTTCAAGCACCGATTGTACTTTATTGTGACAATAGTGGTGTAGTTGCAAACTCGAAGGAACCAAGAAACCATAAAAGGAGTAAGCATATTACTTAATTCGGGACATAACTCAGAGAGGTGATGCAAGAGTGTTGAAGATTGCGTCAGAGGAAAATTTGGCAGCCCCGTTTACAAAGAGCTTGACACAGAAGATTTTTGACAAGCATGTAGAAGGAATGGGTATTAGAGTAGTAGACGCATGGTTATGAGTCTAAGTGGGAGATTGTTGGGATATACTATTAACCATGCGGTTTAGACATAGTATTTTGTTTTATTCTTTATGGAACAATTGTTTATTTAATTTTTCAATTCAATAAACTATTATTTTAAATAGATCATTTGTTACACGTGTGTCCTTTTAGTTATGTAGTAGACAATTTAGTGTATGAAGTCTTAACTCATGTACAGAAGATTAAATTGTCGGTTTTCATAATTAATAAACTATGTTCACAATCAAAGATATTATTAGACAAAATATCTTGATGATTGTAGCACAAGATTATAGTATAATTTGTCTTGATTATGAGAGTGGTTTTACTCCGACTTCTTGTGCTAGTATACTTAGTGTATATTGAACGGACCAAGTAGAGAAAAGATGTTTTGTACTGAATATATATAAAACGTGTTCTCTAATTCATTAAATGAGCTTATATTCCTAATCTTGATATAATTATTATGATCAATGTAATTTGTTTATTATTTTGATTTATCAAAAGGTACAACTCTATTCAGAGTTGGTGTATGCCTAATAGATTGGACAATAACGAATAACATTTGTCAAATAATAATTAGTTGATAGAATCCATGACTCGGTTTTGAGTTTGATGATACCCCTTTATGTAAGCTTATAAGTTTTCATGTGAAAACTCGGCCGGTGGATTTTGTATCCGTCACATGAAATAGTTTAAGCGGAATTGTAAAGGATTTAATTAGTTGATTAAATTAAATTTTCAGTGATTTAATTTAATTAATTGGTATTTGAGATCTTAACATGGGGAGTTAAAATAAGTGTTATTGAATTTTCTAAATTTATATTGAGGAGTTCAATTGCAGTTTTTTAGTGGAATAAACTGCAATTAATATTAGTAAGAATTAATTCATGCTAATTTCGAATTAATGCTATAATTGGTAGCCTCTTATTATTTATGTGGTCCCTTCTATACCTAGTAAAAACTTGGACTTGACTTGGGTAAAAAGTGACTTCGGAGAAAAGTCATCTGGTAGAGTTGGAGTAGGATTCTACTTGTGAAAGCACAATCCTACACGTTTTTGGAGCTGATTTTCGGCCAAAAACTGGTCTACTTAAGGAAGACTAATTTCACCCAATAATCATTTTTTAGAGTTGTATTGTTCTTGCCCACTCAAAGCAAATCCGTCCAAGGTTTTACTAGGCATATAGCAGAAGACTGCAGCCTTGAATTCTTACTGTGTGGAGGATTTGTGCAACGATTTCAAGAGGTTAGTGCTTCTAATCTAGTAATTATAGCATTGTCTAGTTACATGTATATGATGTTTGGTTGTATGCTTGCTTCCGCTGCGCATATTCTAACACTAAGACCCCTGTCGAAAGATATTTGCATAGTATAACTTTCTGCTTTAACGGAATTGTTATCTCTGACCCTAAACTTCCTATTCATGTTTTATTAGTTGTCAATTAAGTCAATTGACCACTACATCTGCAACAACATTTGATCTCTCTGGGCAATCTTACCTTATCGAAAAAAAAAAAAAACATTTGATCTCTCCAGGTATGATGGGCATACAAACTTCTTTATCTTGTAACAGTCCATCCTTTTAATTTTTTTCCCCTCCTTTTTTCTTTAACTTTAGGCAACTACTATTCAAAATTTATTGGCTCGACTAATACTGAATCACGTCGGATAGGCCTACTAAAGGAGATAAAAGGATCTCTACCAAGAGGTAAATGGGGTATTCCTTGTTGCTCACATTTGTCGGATAGGCCTACTAAAGGAGATAAAAGGGTCAGAATCTTTGGTGCTATGTTTACCTCCCTTGTGGGCTATAATACCTTCCCCCAGTCCGGCGGATGTCTGTCACGACCCAAGTCCATTACATGTATTGTCCGCTTTGGACCTAGGTCCGCACGAATTTATTTTTTGGCTACGCTATATCGAGGCACAAAAATGCGTGTATCATGTGAACTTGTGTCATGCCTTATAAAGCTCTTCACTTTCCTCTCCCATTTCGATGTGAGATTCGCCAAAGATGAAATGTGCATCCCTTTTTCAGAAGCTTGAGCCTAGAAGCCTGCCAGTCCTCATCAGCTCGCCCTGCGTCGTGGGCATCACAATGTATTCACCAATAACTGTCCAGTAACAACTGGCTCTATATATATATATATATATATATATATATATATATATATATATATATATATNATATATATATATATATATATATATTGAAATTTTGAAAAAAATAGTTGAGTTAGCAATTTTTTGGATCGGCTATTAGATTTTAGCTAGCTTTTTGAAATACATAGCAAAGTAGCCTCTAGTTTGACTAAATTGATATTGTTATCCCCATCTAAAATACGAAACTCAACTCCAACAATCGGTACTTGAGTTCGAATCCCCAAGAACAATTTCTGTTTTTTGAGTTTTGTTAGTGTAAAATCCAGGAACGATTCCTGATTTTAACTAAAAGGATTGTTTCACCCATGATACCTTTCTTGAACTCAAGGATAATATCCTGGAGTTTCAACTTGCAGAATTTAGAATTTCATGATTGTGTCTGGAGATTAAAATAAGATATCATGAGTGAAGCAATATAAAAAGGATTCAAACCCCAGTAATCGTTGCTGGGTTTTGAACCTATAATTGTTTGAACCTCAATAATTGTTGCTGGGGTTTGAACCTATAATTGTTTGAACCTCAGTAATCGTTGTTGGGGTTTGAACCTATAAAGGTTTAAACCCCTAGTAAC